GGTAGGGGAGAGAGGGAAACCCAGAAACTGGGCATATCAATTGGGTCACAGCGAGGACACCAAGGGCCCAGGATGGACATGGCTTCAGTGTGACTGTCCAGGAGGCAAATCAGAAGTGAGAGCCTGGACAGGGTGCGTGCTTGGGCTCGGGACCAGCTGGGCCTGGGGAGCACTGGGTAGGGCAGGGCTGAGTCTGGGAGGCTGAGGGTGCCATGACAATCCTGAGGTCTTGAACCAGGGCACAGTTCAGCCTCATGGTCTCACCCACCTTTCCATCTGTCTGACATGGAGGGCAGAGAGTATGGTGGATGCGGCATGGGTCTGCAGGCCGATTCACACTCCACAGACTGATGGGGTGGGATCGCCGAATTTTGCCACCAGCTTAGCAAGAAAAGGGAGGCGATCTCCCGCGAGAAGGAGGAACGTGTGTGGTTAAACCAAGGGCCCAAAGCAGCCTGAGATGGGACAGATAGGGCCCTCTCGCTCTCCTCGGGGTAGGCTTCCTGGAGCCCCGGCTGTCTGCCTGAGGGTCCTGCCCGAGCCTGAGCCCAGGACAACTGCGTAAATGGCATGACCTGGGGCCACAAACATGCTTAGAGCCTACTCCACAACTGGGACACAAGCCCAGGGGAGCCCCCACTGGGGATGGAGGGCAGCAGGTCATAGGAGGACATGTGACCATGACCTACCCCAGGCCAGCCACAGCTACTCACTTCCATACAGAGAGATTTGCAGCTCAGACTGGGAAAATGTCTGTCTCACCTGAAGGCCCCCTTCAATGCAGCCCTCTGTCCAATGTTAGGGACCTTCCATTCCTTCCCTGCCCAGAGATAGGTCTATTTCCATGTGTCATTCACACAGAGATTTTAAGTACCACTTGTAGCTGGCAATTTGCAAGTGGCCTGTGGCTAGCCTGGCTGTAGTCCAGAACTCATGTGTGATGTTAACTGAGGCAGACGGGGCCCCTGAACTCCTGCCGACCTGGCTCCTGAGGCCAAGTGCAGCCTGGGAAGCAGAGCAGGGATGGAGCCTTTGGTCTTCCAGTTGAGGAGATAAAGAGGAGTGGGGTGACAACCTGGGGCAAGCCCTGGCCCCAGAAACTACTGGGCCCTTGCCTTCTGGAAATGGGGTCCACCCAGGTCCTGTGTAGATGTCTTTCAAATCAAGGCCTCCCCAAATCCCCCCGCAACAGCTCGACTGGCTGCAGAGTCCTGTTGGTGGGTTTATGGGGGCGCTGATGTCAATGGGGTTCACATAGTAGTCTTTCCAACCAGCCCCTGTCCCATCACAGTTCAGATCTTCTTTGTTATTTCTTGCTTCAGTTTCCCCCAAATTCTCCAGTCTTGACTAAACACTGCTGCAAAATTCATGTTCCAAAAGCCTTGCCCTGCTCATCCCCCACCCAAAACCTTCAGTGGCTCACTATTGCCTTCCAAATAAGCTCTAAACCCCTCCTCTGCTGGTCAAGGTATTGCACAGTTGAGAGACTAGTGTTTTCCAAACACTCCTTTAGTGCACATGAAAACCTCTGGGGGAAGCTTGTCTGAAATGTAGATTCTGTGCCCACCCAGTCATGCTGCTTCAGTAGGACTGGGCTGGGGACCCAGAATCTGCATTTAGACATGCAGCAGGTGCTCCGATGGAGTGGTGCATGCGTTCCATTTTGTGACACATGAGTTTAGGCCCCGTCCCTCCAGCCTCTGTCCTAGTCTCCCTACATGCGCTCACTGGGCTGTACTGTCCCATCCACCTGGACATCAGGGAGGACTCCCTGGATCCCCTTGGCTGCACGCAAACATTCTCCTCTGAACAAGCATGAGGTTTTCACGTGACACTCAGTGCTTCCTCTATCAGGAAGTGTGTGACTGTGGGGGTGTGACCTGCAGTACAAGAGGGCAGATACATCTGTCTGGTGGAGGTATGCAGTTCATACTGGGGGTGATGAGAGGTGCTGGGGGTGATTTATGGAGTGATATGTGCACTTGGTAATGATATAAGGTAGGGGATCAATGTGAGAGGAATGTGTTTGTGCAGTGATGTGACATGTGTATGTTCACGGCATGATGCGAATTGTGTCTGTAATTGCGATGTGGTGACAGGTGTACATATATTTGGTGTACAGTGAAAGTATGTGTGTCTGGGGATCATGGGAAATATTGTGCATGTGTGATATGATATGAGGTGTGCTCGTGGTGTGTTGTGAACTGTGTGTGTTTATTGTGTGTGTGTGTGTGTGTGTGTGTGTGTGGTAGATGTGAGGTGTGTGCATGCTGTGAAGGATGAGTGTGTCTGTGGTGTAACGTGATGCGTGCGTGAGTTTGGGGAGAGGCACAGGCTGCCACAACGGTACACAGCATTAAAGTAGATGCTAGGGGACCTGGATTTCCCGGATGTCATGTTCTGATCAGCCCTCTCCTAAAGCCCACAACTAAAGAGCCCCAGTTCCTTAGTGAGTCCCTCTTGTGCACAGCCAGCTCTGAACATTCCTGACCCCTGTCCCACTTCGGACTCACTCAAGGCTGCCCTTGAATACACCACAGGACATTACAGTGTCCCACGGGACTGCATGCATGCACTCTGCATATGACACTGCCCACGCGCCACAGACCCAGCAGGCCATGCAGGCGCCACCTAGAGAGCCCGCCACGCCTCTCTCGTGTTTATGGACGCCCTCCCTCGGTCAGGCTAGTTCATCTAAACTCTAGTGCAGCATTGACACAAAAGAGTGTGTTTATTTCTCTGCTACTTCTGGAGCAGTCACGCTGATGTTCAACCTTTTCTATTCCAGACTACCACAGGACAGAGAGGGTCTCAGCAGAGCTAACAACACAAACCACAGTTGGAGGTTAGAGGTCCACACTCAAGGTGTTGCAGGACCACACTCCCTCTGAAGGCTCTAGGAGAGGATCTTCCTTGCCTCTTCCAGCTTCTGGTGGCTGCAGCCATCCTTGGTGTTCCTTGGCTTGTAGAGACATCTCTCCAGTCTCTGCCTCTGTCTTCACATGGCTGCCTTCTCCCCGTGTGTCTTTTCTCTTGTTATGGTACCAGTCATATTGGATTAAGGCCCCACCCTATTCTAGTATGACCTCATCTTAGCTAATTATGGCTGCAATGACCTCATTTCCAAATAAGGTCACATTCTGAGTTACTGGGGTATCTTTTGGGGGGCATGAGTTGGCCCATAACAGCATGGTCTGCGGTGGAAGGCGAGCAGGGGCATGTCATTTCCCCTCTCTCATTTCTCCTCAACCACTACCTTCTTGCACTGAAAACCCTCAGTCCAGCGGAATTCCTGTGTGAAGCCTCTAGAGCCCAGGAGCTCATGGCATTGAAGACTGGGGCACTATTTGCAGCAAGAGCCTCTGGCATCGAGCAGGGGCATGTCATTTCCCCTCTCTCATTTCTCCTCAACCACTACCTTCTTGCACTGAAAACCCTCAGTCCAGCGGGATTCCTGTGTGAAGCCTCTGGAGCCCAGGAGCTCATGGCATTGAAGACTGGGGCACTATTTGCAGCAAGAGCCTCTGGCATCCAAATAGCAACCTACAACAGATATCTGTAGGGTGTCAGGCAGCTTCCACTCTCCCATATATGGTTCCCTGTTTGAGTCCCACCCTATGCACAGATGAGGTTATGGCACACCCACCTCCAGAAGAGGTGGTCCAAGCTCCTGGCTCTACGTGAGGTCTCCTCTGTCCCTGCTCTGAGCTCTTCTCCCAGCTGCCAGAAAAAAGCTCCAACTGATGCCACAAATTACAGGGCTGGAGGCTGATGTACACAGAGTCGGTCCCCACAAGGCCTGCAGCCATCCATAAACCAGGCCTGCCCCTTGCCCCTCACCCACCACACCTAGGTTCAGGAGTGCAGGTGCCCTCCCTTCTCCCTCCCACTCAACCCTCAAACAGTCCCTTTGTAATGCACCCATCCTGTTCCTTTGTGACCTGAAGGTGCTTGTTTAGAATGTTGGGATGAGGGTAACCGAATTGTTGGCCCAAGCCACAGAGCCCCTGAACCCTACTATGGGCAAGCCCAGACACACTCCCCACCCTCTGTCACCAAGAGCTGCAAGGTTCCTAGGACGTCCCGGCAACTCTGCTCAAAATAATCCACGACTTCAGAGATTCATGTGGCACCTACTCGGTGCCAGGGTGAGGGCCCTGTGAGAATAAGGTTGGCCCTGCCTTCAGGAGCCTTCACATTGGGAGGGGTGTGCCGGGAAGTCCACCTGCAAAGGTTCTCCCACGGTGGGACGTTCTGGGCACAGCCCAGCAGGTCAAAGGGAAATGAGTGCTACTGGATACTATAGAGTCAAAGTCTTAGCACCAACCAGGGGCCCCCAAAACTGCAGGGCAAATGTGCTTGTAGCACATCGGCAGGTAAACAAAACCATACTCAGATGAGTTCGGGCTGGGGTGCATTAGCAAAAGCGAAACTGCCTTGGCGCTACCGGCAGAATGCACGCCTCGTCTCAAACGCAGCGCCACCGACTCAGGGGCGTCGGCAGCCTCCCCGCCCCCGGGCCACTTGTTGATCGCCAGCTGTCAGGAGTTCGGGCGCCTCCTGCTGGCCGCGCTGCGCAACGGCAGCCGGAACCCCGGCGAGGGTCCCAGGTCGCGAAGCGACCAGACCTTCCGCAGCAAGCTGGGTCTCCAGGGCGCGCTCCCCCGGCGGGAACTTAACCCTGCGGCTGGCGACCTTGGGGGACCGGCCCTGGGGATGGATTTGGCCCATGCCCTTAGAGCACGCAGCCCGGCCACTGTTGCTCAGGGAGTCCGCCCACTCCTCCAGCGCGAGCCCTGCGGTCCTGCGCACCCCGGCGGGGCAGCTCGCTCCGGGCGGGTGCCGTCGAGTGGGGTGGTGGCAGGACGGAGGGAGGAGCCTATCGGGGTCCAGGCCGGGTCGGTGGAGGGGAGGAAGGAGTGGGTGGAGCCTGGGGCGGGGCCGTCTCTGCGCTGTCCCTAGCCAGCCGGCCCGCCCCAGCTCACCTCTTGTCTAGGGACATGACGGGCACGCCAGGCGCCGCTGCCACCCGGGATGGCGAGGCCCCCGAGCGCTCCCCGCCCTGCAGTCCAAGCTACGATCTCACGGGCAAGGTGGGTGGGCGCCGCACCCAGCGCTGGGGACTCCCGTGCCGGCTCAGAAGGACGCATCCTTTGTCTTGAGACCCCCTCCTTCCCTGGCCCAAGCCCCTTTCTGGCTGCGTCTGGGTTGGACTCAGCCCTTCCCCAAGGCAGCCGGGTCTTCTAGGGGAGGGAGGGAGAAACGGAGCGTTAAGACATAGCCCCTGGCCCATCACAACCTCTAGGGATCTGGGCTGGCTCGGCGGGGCAGGGCGAGGAAGATCGGAAGGACCGAGTGACTCCCCACTCGGCATACCCCCAACTCAATTTTTTTCTGCCATTCTGGCTAACAGGAGCCCTTGAGAACCGGGGTTCTTGGCAAGGGTTAAGTGCACATCCCTCCTGGGCACAGGCTTGACTTGCCAGGAAATAGGGACTGCTGAAGACCCAGAGAGGACGCCCCCTGGAGGCGGAGCAACTAGCGGTGACTGTCCTTTTCTGAGCTAAGTTGTCAGCTGAGACTGACATCTAGTCTAAAGGCTTTAGGTCTCCCTGCCGCCCGCAGGTCCTACCCCTTCCCTTTCCACCCTCTCCAGGCACTGCCTTGCACCGTCCTCCCGGCAATGGGAAGCCCCTCCTTCCAGGAGGATGTTACTAGCCAACATGCAGGCCCCCCACCTGGGAGAGCTGTAAGGCAGCTGGCTAGTGCTTGTTCCCTCTACAGGGGTGCCCTGTACCAAAGCACGTGGGGGCGGTGGTGGACACTGGTCTGCCTTCCTTTGAGTGAGCAGGTACCAGACACTCTGAAAGAGATGCTCAGAGGGTCCAGAGCTTCCACTCTTCCTCTACAGGGTTGGATAGATGAGTAAGGGGCTGTCCTGGATCATGTTGCATGGCCTTGAAGGAGACCTGCCTCTTTCTGTGCCTTGGTTTGCTCCCCACATTCTCACTGGACAGGGGTGCTCCCTAGGGACCGCAGAAGTAGCCAGGTCAGAGGGGAGGAGTCTGGGCAGGGTTGGCTCCTTGCCTACCTATAAGATAAGAAAAACAATTCTGAGTCGAGGGGTGCTCCCTAGGGACCGCAGAAGTAGCCAGGTCAGAGGAGAGGAGTCTGGGCAGGGTTGGCTCCTTGCCTACCTATAAGATAAGAAAAACAATTCTGAGTCATCCTTTCCTCCCCTCCTGGGGGACTGCCTCAGATCAGGGCAGACACAGTGTAAGCTGAGTATCCTGGCCCTCAGAGCCCCAGCTCATTGCCCTCTGAGCTGGGCCCCCTTCAGCAAGGCCTCAAAGGTTAGTGAGTCCTTCTGGAGGTCCCGGGAAGCACAGCACTGCACCAGGTTTAAGAGCTGGGCTGGCCATGCAGGGAGCAGGAGTGAGCAGCTTGCCAGGACCCCTCCCTCTCACCTTGATGACTCTGTCTTTACAAATCTGCATCAGGGATGCTGAGCACCACACACCCAAAAGGTCCAGGAGAAGAAGGGTCTAGCCCTGGCAGGTGGGGCCATGCAGAGACTTGGTGCCTCCCTCCAACTGGGCAGAGAACTGAAGCTCCCTTCATTGTGAGAATTAGTGGGTAGCTAGAGGAAAGATAGCCTGCAGACCTAGCCTCTGAAGTCCCAGGATGCTGGTGGGCGCCTCATCTCTATGGACTCAGTTATGGTCCTGGGGCTGAGCTCCGGGAGATGGAGACTGAAGTGGGGAAGGGGCAGGGCCTCCAGCGCCCAGCCCTGTGCTGCCTGCTGAGACCTGGAGAGAGCCAGGAAGGTTCTCAGGCTCCCCTTGCCCTGTCGTGTTATGAGAAGAGGCAGATGGAGTCCCCAGAAGAGAGGACTCCACAGGGGAGGTGTCTGGGGACAGGGTAACCTCTTCCCTGAAGGGATGATCTGGCCAGAGACATCTCTGGGTTCACTATGCCCCCTCTAGGGCTGCAAGGGACAGGGGCAGGATGTTTGCTCCTGGGTAGGATGTCAGCAGAGCTCCGGAGCCAAGTCTCGCCTGCCCTCCCCACCCTCTGCCCTTTTCTCTTTCAGAACAAGGTGGTGGCTGTGGATGGTGTGAGGGTGAAGCTGCAGGTGAGCCCAGAGCCTGGGGTGGGGGCGGGAGGAAGGAGGAGGCTGCCCTCCTCCTCACCCTGCACCACAGGAGGCCTGAGCCCTGCCCTCAGCCTGGGGTAATTTCCTGTGGGGCCCACGAGAGGAAACGGCTTTTGTTTGTTTGATATCTGCAGAAAAGCAGTTCCCAGGCACCCTCACTTCTATCAAAGGCAACTCAAATGCCCTCAGACAAGTGTAGGTGGTCACCTCCAACCCCTGCACTGGGGAAGAGGATACAGCTCTGAAAGAGCTTGAGAACCACTGGCCAGGAGGTCATCAGATGCTCAGGAGCCCATGAGAACCTAAAGAAGGAAACTGCCCCACTTCCCACAGACACCTCTCATATCACCCTGGGTCCCCTCCACCTGGGAGTCCCTGCCTCCTCTGACTATTTCTCCATCCCTTCCTAGATCTGGGACACTGCAGGGCAGGAGCGGTTCCGCAGCGTCACCCATGCTTATTACCGAGATGCCCAGGGTAAGGCCCTGGTGCCCTCCAGCTCCTTCCCCCCACCCCTCTGTAGCACTTGTGCTGATGCCTAAGTCCACTTGTGTCTCTCTCTCTCTCCTCCAGCCTTGCTCCTGCTGTATGACATCACCAACAAATCTTCCTTCGACAACATCAGGGTAGGTCTCCCCTGGCTCCCTCCCCTCCTGCCCATAAGCAGCCAAGGCAGGGCTTGTGCAGGCCGGAATCGCTTCCTGCTCTGTGGGAAGGGGTGGAGCATGCACTCTGGTTGCCTTCTAAAAACACCTAGCTGTGACTCAGAAGACATACCTGCTGCTCAGTGTTTGACTGCCATATGGGCATGGAGGCCAAGCAGGTTGTTGTGCCCCTCTGCCACCTGCATAGCCCTGACTGTGACCATGAGTGTGTTTCATGTTAAAGTGCTCAGAATGGCCCCAGCTCCACCCTGGACAGTTACCCACAGAGACCCAGGGGAGAGTCCAGCTAGAAAAATTTACATATACATCCAGCCCAGGTTGTAAGAAAGTGACCAAGCGGACACAGTGTCTATGTCCTCACAACCAAACCATGACAGAGTGGAGACAGTAATTCAATAAACACAGGCACTGACTTTGTGTACAACATTGTATAGGTTTCATGTGCCACCTAACTTCAAAGGGCATATATAAAAAGGATGGAAAATGCATGGCATTCATACTGCTACTTCCAACCCCATGCTCATGGCAGACATCACTAATAATCATAATACTTTTGATCACTGAGCCCTTATATGACCTGAGTATCCTCAACAGGGCACTGTAGGAAATCACTGGTGATTACCAACCAATCTGTGTACCAGGCCTCCTTTCCACTTCTATCTTCCATAGAACTGAGAGTTGCACTGCACAGGACTTTGGGGGGAAAGGCCACTGTGGGTTGGACAGTTAAGGAAGTCCACCCATAAGTGGAGAGGCCAGAACAAAGATACAGATGAGAGAATGCACAGAGCATCATAACAAACAGGGCAGAAGAAGGAAGGGCGAGACAGAGGAGGAGGAGAGTGGCCTGGTCTCAGCCCGGGCCTGGCTCAGCTCACCCTCTCCCACAGGCCTGGCTCACTGAGATTCATGAGTATGCCCAGAGAGACGTGGTGATCATGCTGCTAGGCAATAAGGTGAGTGGCCCCTGGCAGGGTCGGCCCATCCTACATCTCCTCTCCCACTGCCACAGCATCAGCCTCTCCCAGCCCCACAGCCAACCAAGAAGAGTTCTCTGGATGTCCTGCCAGCAAAGGACGCTCCAGTCTCCAGTCTGGGGATCAGACCTATCTGGCAGCTCCTATCCATCTCACCTTCCCTCTAACACTTTGGAAATGGCCCCCTCCAGGGAAAGCTCAAGCTGCTGCCTGAAGATCCAGGGTTACCCAGCTGCTCAGCCCCATTAGATCATAGTGAACAGGGTCCCTGGTCAGGGACTAAGACTGCAAAGTGCTAACCCCAACTGCTGTCACTCCTGTGAGGCTGGGTCACCACATCCTTTGCTAAGGAGCATCATCCCCCTCCAGGAGCCAGGGGTAAGACTCCAGGGCTGGGAGCTGGGTAACAGCCTCAACAAGGCAGAAACCCTGGTCCCAGGTCAATCACACCTGCCCGCAGTCCCTGGGGCCACCAGCAGAGGGCAGGCAGTGCCTGCTCCTGGGGCAAGAGATGGGCCTGCTGGGGTCAAGGCTTCCTCCCCCAGAGTGACCCATATGGGCTTGACAGGCGGATGTGAGCAATGAAAGAGTGATCCGTTCCGAGGATGGAGAGACACTGGCCAAGGTAAATGACTGCCCGTGGGGCAGGGTAAAGGGTGGGGACAGCCAGAGGCTGGCCCTGAGGACTCTTTCTCCCGGGCAGGAGTATGGTGTTCCCTTCATGGAGACCAGCGCCAAGACGGGCATGAACGTGGAGTTAGCCTTTCTGGCCATTGCCAAGTGAGAGCTAAGCAGGGAAGGGAATCGTGCAGGGCAGGGCGGCACCATCTGGGAATCCAGTAGGGTCTGGGCCCACCTGCATTATGCATTCTTAGGTCCCAGCCGTTGTCTCTTCCTGTTCCAGGGAACTGAAATACCGGGCTGGGCAGCAGACTGAGCAGCCCAGCTTCCAGATCCGAGACTATGTGGAGTCCCAGAAGAAGCGCCCCAGCTGCTGTTCCTTTGTGTGAATCCCAAGAGGTTGAGAAGAGGCTGCAGAGGCCCATGGGGATGCAGCCATCTCCCCCAGACCTCGTTTATTCTGAGCACCTGAACCAGTGGGGAGAAAGTTTGGGAACCCAGTGCACAGCTCTTTCCTACGAGGAAGCTGTACTCTAGCTCCTACCCTAGTTCATGTAGCTTCCCTGCATCCTGGGGGAGGGCAAAATACCTATATTTTAATGATACATAATTTAATACGAAAGAAAGGCACCACGGTGCCAAGAAAACGGAAGTAGGGATCTGATAGCACTTTTGCCTTCTAGGACTCAGGACTAGGATTTAGGGGATTGGGCCTTCCTCCTAGTCATGACAAGGATGGTATTGCTGCAGCTTGGCACCAGGGGATACTGATGCATTTCTGGGGTGTAAGGGTAGGTAGTGACCCCATCGCCACCCTCACTTCAGCTGGAGAGAGGCTGAGCAGACTCCAGCCTTCACTTCCTCCAGCTCCCCAGGAGCTTATCTTCCCCAATAAGATGGGCCCTTGTGCTGGGAACCAGACCAAAGCCTCAGGGAAGATAAGATATGTGGAGATTTGGAGGGGGCCCAGCTCCCTGGGAGGGAGAGAGAGGAGTAACAGAGACTAGGGTCTGTTTGGCTACCTCTGGCCTTACTAACCTCCCTCCCAGAGAAGTTCCCCTTTCTTCCTGCACACAAGCACATTGGGACACCTGGAAACATTGGTTCCAGCTTTCTGTTCTCTCGGCCTCAGATGCCAAGGCATCCTCTTCCTCCTGAATCCCTATCTTATCTACCTTTCTGTTTGTGCCCCTAGACACCTAAGTTCAGAACTTGGAAAAGATTTTTCTTCTTGTCCCAATCCTTTGGCCGGTATGCAGCCTCACAGACTACATCTTTAAGTAGCTGTAGTGCTTAGCTCTATTGGATCAGAGCCAGATAAAGAGAATCCTCTGGTTCCTGGAGCAGGTGGGAGACAGAACTGAGCAAACCTCACCTGACATGTGTCCCCCTAAACCCAAGCTCCAAGCTCTGCCTCCTCCTCCCTTACCGCCATTGTCTTTTTTTTTTTTTTTTTTAACTTCTCAGACAGACAACAGGGCGAAAACTGCTTTAGCTCTCCTCCTACTGGGTCAGGTTAGGGAGTGGGAGGTCATCCATTCTTAAGTAAACCAATGCACTGTGTACAAAAACAAGGTACTGAGGGTAAGTCTGGGGTGGGGAGAGAGGCAACTAGGAATTCATATGCGACCAAGTTCACATGTCTCCCAAAGCTCTGAGCCCAGCAGTTGGAAGAGGGCAGGAGATCTACAGAGACATACAGAGGGGCAGGTCGTGACCTACAGGCACCTTTACTCCAGCTCTGCAGGCCAGGAACAGGGGAGGGGGGTGAAAAAGAAGTATGCACTGCACATTTCTGAGGCCACTGCATATGCTTTCAAGGCAGAAATGTTGCTTTCTGCACAGAGTCAGCAGCTCCAACTTGGGCCCAATAAGGAAGTTCTACGTGGCCTCTCCCAAGTGCAGCAGGGAGTAGCCTGACCTTACCAGTCTCTTCTGGGGCTCATGGCAGGTTGCAAGAGATCCAACCACATAGACAGCTCTGGGTCTCTAGCATTTGTGTTTTTCAGAATTAAATTGCAGTATTTTGGAAAATACACCCTGTCCGGTTTATTTGAGGTGGGCCTGGGAGGTCGAATCATGTTGAAGGGATTGTTATTGCATGGGGGGCGGGGGGGGAGGAGACTGTCATTACTGCCAAAATCGATCCTCATCATTCAATGTCCCCAACTGGTCACCTCACCCTTAACAAACTCCCCCCTCCCCCAGTCTCTGAGACCAGCCTCTCATCTGGCAAGAGGGAGCTGGAAGGCTTATCTTACAGTCCCAATCGTTTTTCTTTGTCTATTGAAAAAAAGCCTGGGCTCCTTTCCCTGTGGAGTGTACCCAGAGGTTGATTACCGGACTCTGTTCTGCCTCTCCCCACCCCACCCCCCTAGCCAAACGCTGATGCCAGCAGCACCCATGCCATTGCCCTCGGCGGCCTATCCCGAGTGCGTTGCCCCGCGAAGCCTCGGGCTCTCTGCGGAGCCCTCAACACCTTCCCAGCAGAGATCACAGCCTGCACCCCTATAAGCGGGTCCTGGGACAGCGCAGAGTGATTCCACGAACGGAAAAAATACCGTTACTCAAACAACCCCTGGGTGCGAGGAAGACCTCCGCCTCATTCCTGAGGCCGCTGGAGCGGTTTCCCCTGCAGCAGCAGCTCCCTCTCGATCCGAGCTGTATCCCAGGTCCTTTACCCGAAGGCTGGCTCTCCTCGGTCCCCGCCACAGGTAGGGGAAACCAGGACGGAGACTGCGGGCCCCTCCGCCCAGGACTGGGAGCGCGCCCCGAGCCCCGCCCTCCGGCCAACTCCGGCCACTTAGTGACAAACACTTCCACTTCCTGAGCCTTTCTTCGCCCGCCGCGGGGCGCCTCGCCGAGAGCAGGCCCCGCCCCCGAGCGTTCCCATTGGCCGGCGTCGTTCACCCGCTTCCGCCTATGAATTCTGATTGGTCCGTGGTGGTCCACACCCTCGGCGCGGCCACGCCCCCGGGGTAAGAAGTCGGGGCGCGTTCTGGAGCGCTCAGACGCCGCGCGGGGCGGGGATTGGTCCGCTCTTGGTTTGGGCTCCCCGCAGTTCGCCGCCGTCCGCCGTCTCCGGGACACCTGCTCGCTCCGCCCGTCCGGCGGCGCGGGATTCCCTGCCGCGCTCTCCCCGCCTCCCAGTTCGCAGGGCCCGGCCGTCCTGTACCCGGACCCCGCGTCGCTCCTCTGAGACACCGCAGGGCGAGATGAGCGCGGACGTGGCGGCCGGGGCGCCCCTGCCCCGGCTCTGCTGCCTGGAGAAGGGTCCGAACGGCTACGGCTTCCACCTGCACGGGGAGAAGGGGAAGGCGGGCCAGTACATCCGGCTGGTGGAGCCCGGCTCGCCGGCCGAGAAGGCGGGGCTGCTGGCCGGGGACCGGTTGGTGGAGGTGAACGGCGAGAACGTGGAGAAGGAGACCCACCAGCAGGTGGTGAGCCGCATCCGAGCCGCGCTCAACGCCGTGCGCCTGCTGGTGGTCGACCCCGAAGCGGACGAGCAGCTGCAGAAGCTCGGCGGCCAGGCCCGGGAGGAGCTGCTGCGCGCCCAGTTAGGACCCGGGCAGGCCGAGCCGCCGGGCGCCGTCGGGGCGCAGGGGGTTGGCGACCAAAATGAGCCACGCGAGGCCGAGAAGAGCCACCCCGAGCGGGTAAGTCGGCCCGGGCTGGGAGGGGGGATCCGGGAGAGACCCAGGCGTTCGCAGTCGTCTGTCTGAAACTCGAGCCGCGAGGGAGAGACGGCTTCCGCCCGCCGACCGGGCGCCCTGGCAGTTCCTAGGCTGCCTTGGGGCTGCGTCCTCGCGACCCCATCCCCCTCCCAGGCCGGGTTGGAAGCCTGAGCGCCTTTGCCGCCTGCACCTCTTGACCTTTGGCCTTCGGGAGGGCGGCACAGGGGAGCCCAGGCCCCTTTTCCTCGGTTCTGTGTCTGCTCCCGCTCCTTGGAAACCCTCAATCCCGCCCCGCAGCTGGGCAGGGAGCAGGGCCCCTCTGCCCCAGAGGTGCCAGCTTCCTCTGCGGCCCCTGTGGGTGATAACTGAAGCTGGTGAGAAAGTGAGCACGGCCCCGACTTCGAAAAGCTGGGGCGGTAACAATCTCCTTTCTGCGCGAGGCCCCGGCGCTGGGAGGCCCTCTCCGCACCTACCACCCTCCCCCCGCCCCCTCAGCCCGCTGGTGTGTGTATCATTAACTTCAGCCCCGCTGGACTTTCTCCTCCTGGAGTCCAGTGCGACTTCTAAGAGAGAGGAAGCCCCACCGTCTCAGGGCGATGG